AAAAAAAAGAAGATTAGTAGAGCTATGAGGATGATAAGATAAGGAGTTTAACGCTGATTAGTAATGGCTTTGACGCTTTTAGTTCCATCTAAAGAAGTAGGTCGGTAAACTCGGGACAAAATAACGCGGGAGTCATTAACGTTGATCACACAGGAACATTATGGTCCCACACGCAATAATAGACATGGCAGCCATTTAAAAGTCCGAGAAAGTGAGTCATTGTAAGCATCAGGCTAATGTGATCAAGCTTGACGACATTTCTTCACTACGTTCACGTTTGTTCACGTTTTGCTTGTATGTGTTCATTTCATCGTGAACTCTTTCCGTTAAAAGCGCAGTGACACGAGTATCCAATGTAAAATTGTAGATCTTTTTCGCACATCGTGAAGTGCCACGATAACTTGATCAAACTTAATCGATAGTTAGCTTATCGAACAATATTTTATCAATATAATGAATGAATATAAAATGAGTGAATAAAATTATCAATACTTGTCGTTCTTTTTATCGACGAGAAAAGATTGATTAAATTAAAAACAGCAAATTATAATTAATTTTATTGGAAATAACTCGAAAGACTTCCTCCAATTTTGATTAACTCTTTCTTAACTGGCGACTAATCTAATAATAAAATGCATCAACGTACAACTTATCATTTCTAATTCCCAATCTGATCTTTCTTTTTATATATCAAAAAAAATCCTGTCTGCGTCAAAAAAGGAAATATTGGAGATAATAGTTGATAATTTAATCGATAATTAAGTTAATCAAGATTTAGCCAAAGTTATTTAGAATTAGAGATTGATTTTGTTTTCTGATTAACTTAATTGATGATTAACTCGTCAAATAATATGTTTTGGTAGCGTAAACAAAATTATTAATTTTTTATTTTTTATTAGATATTGTATTAGATACAGGAGAAAAGATAGACTAGGAATTAATTAGATTGTTTAATTTGTTCTGGTTTCTATCGAATCATCGATTAAGTTAATAATTTGATTAATAATAATTTAAATGATTTTTAAACTTTTAATAGCTGATTAGATTAATTGGTTGAAATTATCCGCGTAAAACAGCGAAATAATATGATCGAAGAATATTGTGACTGATAGAAACCTATTGTGTCTGTTGGATGGTGTTTATATATCCCGAAGTAGCCATTGCATCATTCATCCCTTTAGCACCCTGTTCAAAGATGCTCTCACAATTAGAGCTAATAAACGCATTTTAAAAAATTTGATTACAGTATTTTGTTGTCCATTTCAATCATTACATAGAAGATTACAATATCTATGCTCTTCTGCGAAAAATATCTTATATTTTTATTCTTATCTTCTTATTAAGTATATCTGATTCTACATTTGATGATCCAGTAAAAAATGTTTCATATAAAAATATGTATGAAAATATATAAATATATATAATACTAATAATAATAATTAAATACGATTCATATGTATTTATATTAATTTTTTTTCTTTTGTAAAATTTCTGTTTGGTATAAGAAAGTGATGAGAAAAAATAATTAAAAGGATAATTCGCATTGTTTCTTTAAGTTTAAAGATAAAAATTGCCCATATATAATCTAATATATATTTATAATTAAAGGTATATATATATATATATATATATATATATATATATTATATATATATATATATATTATATATATATATATATA